AAATGGATATTGGATTTAGAATACACTGGAAGGAGAATTTACCTTTTCCAAGCCCCACATATTAGGGACCGGATTGTCACTGGCTCAAATAGGTATTTTGACACTTGATTTTCATATATTTGGCTACAAGTAGATGGGTGAATTTACTAGGCACAGATGTCTAGTGTAATTTTAGATGCAAGGAGGGGTCCTTCCTTGACCCCAGCTGTCATCTCAGTAAAAAAAACCCAAGTCACTTATAAGATCTGTGCAGATGTGTTTACGGGATCTGCAAAGCTAGTGTAAAATTCTGATGTGTAAGCAAATTCTGCTAGAAGTAGCTAACCTATTGCCAGGAGACTACCCTGTCTCTATAATCAATGGAGAGAAAGATGCATCTCTAGCGATTCATTTAATCTTAAAGGATTTTTGAGACATTTGCCCTGTCCTCATTAACCACAGGGCTGGACTGGACTGGATGACAAGCGTAAAACAGGTAGCAGGTAAAACCAAATGCGAAATGAAACAAACCCAAAAGACTCAGATAAAAGCAATATCCAAGTGCTTTCATAGGTCTAGGACTCAATCTTATGTTCAGCAAAATCGATAGCTGACTTCATTAGGATAAGATTCATAACCCCTCACCATAGTGAAACAATGTGATGTATTGATTGCTTCTCACCCAATATGTGAAACATGTGATCAGCTAAATTCTAATATAGTCAAAAATGTTATTAAAATAAGGATTTGGCTCACTCTATAAAAATTGGGCAATTAATAAATAAGATGAATTAAGTCTAACTATATCATGTTAAAATAAGGCAGAGAGTAAACATCCTATGTTTGTAATTTTGCTATCAGTTTTGACTTAAATATCAGAGGCATCTCACGACTGAACACAATTTGATAACAGTACAACTCCATATGTCTGGGTTTCACAGTTATATTCACCCAGATAAGAATTCTGGTTTAACCAATGTAAGTTAAAACTGTGTCTTTTGTTTGGCTTTGTGCTGAGCCATGGAAAAACCAAGAAAAAATAAAAAAAGTTAAAAATTGTTAAAAATAAAAATGTTGCAGATTTACCCAAAACACTCACGCTGTCTTGTCTCTAGCAAGTGAATAAGGACAGATGAAATACTAACTGCCAATTACATAGGTGACTTACTGAGGACCAATATTTTATTTCCAAAAGAGAAATGGGACTCAATTTTCAAAGGTATTTAAATTTCTTGTTGTATATTAAAACATTTCACAGCAAGGCAGGAGCTGAAATTCTACTAGAATTAATTTGAGTTAAATGCTCATATTCTACAGTAACTTAAGCATTGATCCACCCACATTCACCTCATATCAAATTCCTTTGAAAGCCCACCCTTCACCCAGATGGTAGCCTATGTCACACTGAAAGTTAGTTGGATTCAGCTTTCCGACAGACAACCTTCCTTTGTTTTCTACAACCAGGCACTGGGATTCTCAGACAGTCCTTCCAGGCATCCAGCTCAGACTGCATGACTAAATATCTTTATAAGCATGGTTATTGGCCAAGTCTTTTATGGAAAACAAGAATTTGCAGAGCCCAAATCCATATCTAAGATACTTAGTAATTTCACAGTCTAAAAATCCCTGCCTAGCACTAATAATTTTCAGAGGTTACATATCATATCACCAAGAGAAAAAAAAAAAAAAAAAAAGATACTTACTATCCTTCTACCAGTCCCTTACTTTTATTATGAAACTTCTCTTGGGAGAAGGAAGAAAGCCTCCAACAGTTCTTTGACAGTCTCAAGTTTTCCATTGAAATTAAACATGATATTTTATGCTTAAAAACTATTATTTTATGTTTACTGAAAAATATTATCTAGAATAATAGCTAAAAGAAAAACTACCACAATTAAAGAGAAATTTTAACCAAAATAAGAGAAATGGCTTGTAATAAATGGGGAAAAGGTCTAATTTAAACTGCGGAAAAAGAAAAAAAAAATTCTTCTTTTTTATAAAAAAATATTATTAGTTGCCTTTAACTGATATGAAGGAATTCCGCTTATGCCCTCACTAAAGAAAACATTAGAACAAAGCAATTAAAAAAAAAAGAAAGGAGTTAGTATTAGCGTACTTCATATAGTATCTTTTAGCTACCATTTAATAAGAAGAATTTTGGCATCTTAATTTAGAAGTCCATACAAATGTGTTCATTGATTCAGTCCTGTAGCATAAGAATATTCCCATTTCAGTACATTCATAAGTATAGATGCACATGTCTCTGTATAGTTATGCATTTATGTATGTGCAGTTCTTTCTTTTTACAGATGCACACCAACATAGGTAAATTTTCAAAGCGTTTTACCAGCCTGGGCTATATTAAAAGAGGATAAGGAAAAATGGACAAATCAACCACTTGACAATGTTTTGCCAGATGTGGGCTGGCACAGAGCATTGCCACTACACTTGTCCTCTGGCCTGGGACTGAGCCACTGAGCTATATCCGAAATGTTTGCAGCAACACTAATATTTACCTTTGGTAATGAGAACTTGGTCCTGCTTGAGAAAGCTTAGCATCTTGCAGAATCAGATCCTATGATGGCTGAAAGCAATTTGTTTACATAAGAAATGAGAGGACTCTGCTTTGTTGCTCAATCTCCCTTTTCCAGCTAATCCGCTGCTGGAGCTGATTTTCGCTTTATTGCTACACTCTGTAGTAGTTTTATTCCTGGAAACTAACATGTAGGAAAGCAGAAGGATGTTTTGTATCTGCTGTTCATCTAGAGAAAAAGACACAACTGGGTGTATTCCCCTCCTTCCTATTCCACTCTTCATAAAACCAATTAAGCACATTGGGAGTTCGGAGATGTCCCATACACAGGCCATTTCAGAGAAGATGACTCAAATATGGACCCAAATAGGAGCCCATGAACTCTCTTATTCCTCCCCTCCTGCCATGCCAAAAAAAGCAGCTTCATCTGGGGAAAGGAAGGAATAAAAATAATTGCTTTGCCAGGAGTTTACTGCAAAAGATAAAGCAACGTAAAGAAAACAGCTAATCACAGATCACAGATTATTCTGAGTTGGAAGCGATCCACAAGGATCACTGAGTCCAATTCTCAAGTGAATGGCCTATACAGGGATACAAACCCATGATCTTGGCATTGTTAGTACCATGCTCTAACCAGCTGAGATAATCTCAGGGTCATGAGTCCATTATTACACATCTCATCACACAGAAACACTCTCAATAATCACGTGAAACAGCCAGCATGTGGCTGTTGTTGATCATGATTGAGGAAGAACAGCACTAATACTAATTTCAATATAAATGACTTCATAAAATTGCTCAGTTAAGAGGTGGTCTCACATATTCCTCTTCACATGAGAATGATATAATTCTAAGATTGCTTTCTCTTCACTGGACGCTCCAAAGAAGTGGTGAAGAATCATTATATCCAAACTGTGTTTCATTTATTCTTCCTTGCCTGCTCTCTCCTCTCATAAAAATCCCACAAATAAATAGTTACATACCTTTGCAATGCACTGCCTAGAAAAATAGCACCTGTTGCATGGGTAAGCTCATCTCTAGCTTGCTGTGGCTTATTACCTCATACTGTGATTCTTTGATTTTATGTAAAAAGGACCCTCATGTGGAAACCCCAGGATGACTGCACAAGGGCGTAGGGCAAAGAAAGAGATTCAGCTGTACAATTATTTGTCTTGAATTAATTCTTATCAAGAGTACTGCAATGAATAAGATTTTTTTTTCCCTTAACTGTGGGCTGCATTCAACTCCTGTCAGGAACTTTTAAGTCTGACAGCAAATTCGACATGCTCTTTAGAATCCCTGAGAAGACAGATGTCACATGGAAACAACATGGAGTGCAAACCTCCCTTGCGGGGACTCCTACATTTCTGACTCTTAGGTTGTCTGTGACTGAAAAGATGGTTTTTCAGCCTCACATTGTAACCATACAGCACAAGTAATATGGGTATAATTTTAGTCTTCAGTATTGTTCTCAATCAGGAAAGGACAGAAGACTTTAGGAAAAAAAAAAAGAAGTTTAATTTGAAGTAAGAGTATTTGGGATCTTTTTTGTTTCTCTAATGTTATTCCTTGTAAACAGAGTTGTTCAAATATTAATCTTTTTAGATGTGACATCAGACCTCTCTCTATTTAGTTTTGGAGAAGGTATTTCAGCTTTTACAAACAGGAAATACCAATCAATCTCACATGGAGTTTTGGGAGAGTGTTTTTGAGTATTTGGATTTTTTTTTTTTTTTAAAAAACCTGCAGAAGATGTGCATCATGTTTAAGAGTAAACTATTTTTGTTTTTCTCTCATCTATGTATTTCTTTTTTTCCACAGCAGCAACAGTGTTTAACCTCAGTGCGTGATAATCCTCCATATGGCATGAACAGGCATATGCTGCATTTCTAAAATTTCAGACAAATATAGAGCACCTAAGTCCTAGCAGCTTCCTAAAACCCTTGGAGATTCAAGCTACTATTTTCCATGCTTCAGCTAGTTATGCTAGAGTATGTTGGGTCTACATAGCCAGCCTTACAAGATGGAGGTGGAAGAAGTGAATGGGAATGACATTTATTGTTGATACATATATTTTTGGAAAAGTACTGAGAAGCCTAAAAGTTACAGTAAAAGGACAGGAGGTTGGGGGAAGGAGCTTAATGAGGACAGTTTTATTTTCCTTTACGTCATACCAGCTTCTCAAATGGTATAAATTAACATAACGCCATTTAAATCAATAGACAATATATCAACATTTGAGAATTTGGCCAATTTTTTATGATTGTTGTAAATGAGCCCATGAAAGAAATCAGGTGGTTTTGTCTCATTCTTTTGCTCTATCCTGTCCCAGTACCTCTAGAGCTATGTGTTCAACTACTTTACCTGTACTTTACATAGTCCAGCTCTACTGTAACAGTGATGACTTAAATAGCTCCAGAGGAAAAAAAACACAAATAAATGTAGGACTTTGAAACATCCAAAAACTGACAGCAGACACAAGGATGTGCATGTGGATCTTATTTTGTGTAGGATGGGATAACAGGTCTCTTGAGCTGAAGAAGTAAATTGTGATTGCCAGGTTCTTGTGCAGAGAATGAGGCACTGTGATCGTTCTCAGTGTTTCTTGTGCAGGGTGGGCTTTTCCAAATGGAATAGCAAAAAATGAATGCTTAAAAAAATTTTTCAAAAAAGAAAATAAGGAAGGAAGAAAGGAATAAAGGAACAAAGAAAACAAGGATAAGGGAGTAAGAATAAATTGCATTGTCCATCAGATAAAATATTCCCGTTTGCACTCGCTCACTGTGTTCTGCAAGTCAATGTCAGCTTTAAAGTTGCTCTCGAGGTTTTCTGGGTATTCTTTCTCCTTTTTCTGACTACTTCGATGTGCTTGTTTGTGCTGATAGAGGAATCTGCTCATGATGGCAATGATACAAAAGATGATGAATATCACAACTGCTATTACACCTGTAAAGAGGTAAAAAAGAAAGGATAGAAAGAGTAAAAACCAAAACAGAAAGTCCAATTACCTCAAAAATGCATTACCAATTCACAGCAGCTAGTAGATATGATAGATCAGTTCATCTCAGTCTGTATACAACCACATGCCTCTATCATACCCTCCCTGTTAGTTTTTATTTTCATTTTTTCATCTTAAGACCATTTAAAGCAGCAAGTATTGATGTAATTGACCTAATTTCCATCAAATTTTGCTTTCACTGGAAGTACAGTTGGTTCAGCGTGTTTACTTTTGAAAAGCTAGATCTATATGTTCATACAAATTCTTGCTCTCTCATATTTTCTTCTGTGTTATCTCTGTAAACCTTGCATGAGCCTTCTACACTTCGGTTTATAGCTTTTCGATATTATCAAAGGCCGCTTGCTACTGGGCACCCTATAAAATAAACAGAGATAAATTGTCTTCTAGGGTGTTACAGGAAAATTTAAGTCATACATGAAATTAGGAGGACAATTTTCTCTAGTATATAAATACTTTCATATGACCTAGTGAGTTCCACTACCCCACCAGACTGCAAAGAGAGAGCTCCAGAAGTATGGGATATGTGAATACTGTGCAGAGGGTCTCAGCAGGGCTGTGTGTAAAACAATTACTAGACAGTTGGGCCTTAGAATGCAGAATCATATGGAATTAGAGAATGGCTGGGATCTCGGGAGGTCATCTTGTCCAAATCCCCTGCTCAAGCAGGCAGGTAGACAGACAGAGTTTGTTTATATTTTAGAAGACTCAGGTTCTTGATGATCCATGTGTGGCCACAGTAATCCATAATGCAACTGCCTACCTAGGGAGATTGATACAGGTATGCACTAGTAAATACAGCAAATACTAGACCTGCATCATACTATAAAAAAACTTCAGGTAGATTTCATAGAGCCCAGATTTAAAGTCTCCTAGATGTTTGCTTTGACAGAATTATTTTTCTACTGTAATCTTTAAAAACAAAGTTACCTCCAATCACAGCTGAATCACTTCTGACTGCATTGGTGAGAGGTTCTCTTTCATCTGTCTTCCCGAAAGGATCTGCAGTTGGTTAAACAAAACAGAACTTATTTTCTATATCACCTGTGTTCATTTTCTCTGTGGTATAGACAGAAGTGTCCTCTTACTCTCATGAATTCTAATTTGTTTTCAATAGATGGGATTTGGGGTATTGGAGAACTTAACCAGAAGCTCTGAAAAATAAAGTGAGTTTGCAGAACAATTTTATTCTACATCTTCAGGAACAAAGTCTGTTAAGGGTATATTTAGAAGGAAACAGACTAACACCAACATCTGTAAGTAATGTTTCAGTTTGTCAGAAGAGTCAGAGAGGCATTTGAATTAAATAGCCCATTAGGAGCTTTTCTCAGTTAGAGCTGTTTTTTTGGTTTGGTTTGGGTTTTTTGTTTGGTTGGTTTTTTGTTGTTGTTGTTGTTGGTTTTTTGTTTGTTTGGGGTTTTTTTGTTTGTTTGGGTTTTTTTTGTTGTTTTTTTTTTTGTTACTTAAGAAACAATATCAGAGAGAAGCCAAAGGAAAGGGTCACTAGACAGATTCAGACATGACCTACATTTGTAGATACAGATATTCAAGTTGAATTCAATCCCAAGAAGAGAAGGAGTCTCTGCTTGGGACAGCTTCTGGGAGGGGATGTTCTCATCTCAGTTGCAGAAATGCAGTGGTCAAATTGGATCCAAAACAGAAGGGCTTGAGTAATTGATTCCTACATTAAAGGCTCCTTGATGTTCTAGCTCTCTTGTGCTTTGTCTATAAGTGACTGTCACTGAAACACTGAGTCAAATAGCCCACAGCTGTTTCAAATTCAGCTCCCAATCTGAGAGGTCAAGTCCTCCTTGAAGTCAGTGTAGTTAGAGCAGGGTACTTACTTTTTAATACTGCATGTTTCAGAAAATGCCATGTGTTTTTACTGATAACTGAATCTAGCTTTTCTGCACCTTCACATTTTTCTGTTCTCTTCAGCTTACTTTCTCCTTTGACAGGATTCATATTTGTGTTTCTCTCCTTTACAAGCCTCCAGAGAATGTATGTAGGAAGGGAGTTAGGGATCACTGTCTCTGCTGTGTACTATACACTGATTTGCCAAACTGATCTTTCTGATGCAAGAGGTGGAAGCCCAGTTCAGAAATTTGGTGTTGCAGTGTTTACTGTAATTGAACATCCTTGCCTTAGTGACTTATTCAGCCACATTTTGCTATGCCATTGCTGAAGAAGATGAATTTTACTGAAACAAGCAACAATATAATATTTGTGGGTCAGGTGGTCCTGAATTTGTGATGTGGCTTTGGGCTATATGGGTTCTTAAAGGGCACACTTTTTTCTTATTCTCTACGTCAGTGATACCAGCCCTAGAAAGATGCAGAAGACATAAGCCTCAAAGAGGCTTTGATGTTCTAAAAGATGCAACTCCACTTGCTAGTTTTAGGGGTAGAAGGATTTCTAATCAATCACACAGATACTGAAAGTCAAGGTTCCCCATACATAAAGTCCATGACTCATGACTGAGCTACAGACACAGAAGGGACTTCTGGGGTCAACTGAATACGTCCAATATATTCAATGTCACCACTGAATGTCAAATGTTAATGACAGATTTGAACACTCAGGCCTATTTACAAGAGCCTCCTTGCTTGGATACTGTGTGCTTAGGGTGACATTCCCAAGAAACAAATAGTCATGGCAATGCTTCATCTCATCTATTATGTTTGTGGGAGTGGAATGGGAATAAAAATGTATTTTTACACACACACACATATATATATAGATAACATCACAGAAAAAGTTATGTTGAAAAGGAAATATGAAGGTTATTTAGCCTAATCTCAGGCCTTTGAGGCCAAATTCAAAATTAGGTCAGGATTGGTAATAATAATTATGGACATGATGGTAGATTCATCTTGCTTTATTTTTCAGTATCTCAGAATTATTTATATAAATCAAAATTAGTAATTTAGGCACTTTTTATTTAGTAAAAGAGGAAAGGAATCTAAGAATACTTATACCCTAAGATGGCTGTCAAAGATTGACAGCGTGACTCACCTATTTCTTTCCACAAACTAGGAGAGGACAATCCTTATTTTAGACTCAAGATGATTTAACTTTCAGAGGCGGAAGCTTGGTGAAGTATTTTTTATCCTAGCCCTCAGCTGACACCAGTGAAATCAGTTACAATCAAAAATTCATGTCTGTTCTACAACAGTCTTCCTGTACTAGAGAAAAATCTCCAGCTGGTATCCAGTGCATGGTAGTAGTCAAAAAGAGTAATGAAAAACTAATAAGTATGTATGAAAAAGCATTAAATTAAATTTCTACCTTAAAAATTATATAAGACATTAATTATGCCTAAAAGATTATGTAAGATTTGACACTAGATGTGACTAGCCCTCCACTATTTTTTGGCTGCTGTTACCAGAATTTAAGCACTGAGAGGAAACCAGAACAAATGTTGAAGATCAGTTTCAGAATGGAGACCAACAGACACAGGCCATACGAAATATATTTGCCTGAGAAATAAAATCAGTATACAAGTAGAGGAGGGTTTGTTACGGTGCAGCAGACGGCATGCAACAGCAGAACCATTTCCAGTGGGAATACAACTCTGAAGCCAAGGGAAAGTAATACTGGGCCTTATTTGAGACTTAAACAGGACATTCTTCTCCTTTTAGATAAAACTAAGGCACTTCTGAGGTTGGAAGGCTCCTCTAGAAATCCTCTAATCCAAACTCCTACTCAAATCAGTCTACTACAGCAAGTTTTTCAGGGCTGTATCCATTTGGGTTTTGAATATATCTAAGGACAAACACTTTACAACCTCTCTGGGCCTCCTGCCACCTTTGCTAGATATCCTGCTTATTGGGATGGACCATTCTTGATCCTGGAGGAGATCATCCTTGAAACAGATCTCCTGGGTCCATCTTCTCACCAGAGCAGTATACTGTGTCATTCTTCCAAGCAGGTCCATGAGCAGGTCAAAGGTTCTTCTGCTGAAGTCTGGTTTTGCAGTCATGCTTTCTGCTTTTTTTCCTTATGTTGAGGGTCCTGAACTTCACCATCTCATAGGTGCTACAGCCAAGGCTGTCCTGGCACATCCCCAGCGAGTTGCAACTTGTTTGGAAATACTGGGTCCAGCACAACTAGCACAGTGAGAAAGGGACTTCACTGTTTAAGGTGCCTCTGTAGCAAAATCTTTCTATGTAGTTTCTGACTTATAAAAGTATTTGACATTTTTTACTTTAAATGCATGAAGACCTGCTCTTCAGCTAAAATAGACAGACAGCTCAAAACTCCACCATTCACACAGCTGAATCTGCCCTGTCATTTTTAAAGTATTTTAGTATTAAGAAAAAATACCACAGTAAAAGTACATTTTGTCTCTGTCATCAGTGTAGAGTTCAGAATGCCAAACCTCTACACGTGCCTCAGCAAGGAAGAAGGGGATCTGCAGACCTTCACTAAATATAAAAATACACAGTAAGTCACCTTTCATTCTGTTTCTTAATCAGAAAGAATGTATTCGGATAACTGAGCCATGATGAATAGATTTTATTCCGTATCTGTCTGAGAGGAAACTTTCTTGAACACAAGTATTCCTTTCTGAAGAAAATAGCTTCAACTGTTTTCAAGTTTTAAATATAGAAAGCTTTTTTCACACATTTAAAGAGTTTTCCTAGAGGGCTTTTTGTTGTATCTGTACATTAGAAAATAGACACAGACATGTACAGTCTCCTTTGAAGTTCTATTTTTCTTTTCAGACACTCAATAATGAGAAAATGGGAAGTGATGAATTGAGATATGAGCAGTAAATTTGAAAGCTAATCCTTAACTCTGTTTTCTTTTTATTTCTTAAAATGTGTCCTTTCCATGTATAAATGTAATTCTCAAGTACATCTATACAAAGAATAATTTGCTACAAATTGGAATTTTTTTAAAATAAGAATCTACCGCCCAGTGCTCTTACTGTAGCATTTAAATACATGAAGTCTTCAGAATTCACTCGTTCTAAGATCTTATTCAGGCTTTAATCAAATCCAGTGTGAATAGTGAGACAGTAATGTCAGTTAATTCATCATATTGAGAGGAAATCATATTTTAGAGCACAGAGTGGCAAAGACAGGGATGAGCTTTTATAATAATTCTGCACTTCTGAGGTAACACTGCTTAACCTTGACAATAGAGTGCAACTGATTGTATGCTTTAAATATTTAAGTCTGAATGCTACACTCTGTGTTCTGACCGGCAGTTCTGAGCCTCAGGTTTTACTGCTTTCTAAACTCCTTAGAAAAATGACATCATCGAGGTGACAGATCACAGGGCAAGGAGTTCATATTTTCAGTATCATTGCCCACTCAGTACTCACAAGACACATTCCTTCCGTGCATCAGAGTAGATACCTTGGACAGCTCCAGGCGAGGAGAGGAAAGTGGGGGGCTGGGGAGAAGCACACGCACATTGCCAGCCGCTCTCAAGAGTAATCAGCAGCCTTTTTCCCTATGCAGAATGCTAATAGCATCATTTGTTTTCTGCTGAATATCTTAGGCAGAAGCTGCAGGAAATGGGGCTTTGATGCAAGTACAGATGTAAAAGGAATTGTATTATGATTTAAACCAGAGTTTTATTAGTTATCAAAAAAAAAAAGGAAGTGGCTTTAGAGGTCAAGGTGCAAAAAACACCCCTTAATTTGTACCCCTTTCTGGTCATTAAGAATTCTGCCTCATCCACTGGTGACTGAAGCAGTAACTTGATTGTTCCTGCTCATGGTGACAACACTTCCAGCTGCTCTCAGTTTCCTTCTCTGCATACAAATTCACATATGCAAAATACTTAAGATTCCCAGAGGACGGTTTCAAGATTGCAAAAGATATACAAACTATTGGGATTATCTTACTGGTACTGCTCAAGTAGTGCTCTTTCTCTTTAGCCTGAGAGAATGAAGCACAAGCATTCAATGGAAGTCACACACACGTGTCAAGGGAATTTTACGAGAGTTTTTGTTCATTTCTCATAGGATGGGAATAAATTTGACTTGTTTGTTGTATGACTTCTATTGCTTCATCACCACTGGGATATAGAACGTGTGTAACATTTATGTTCTCCTTTGAGATCTGAAGCCACTGGAGTTGTCTGGAGTGGACAGGAGTGGCAAATCAGGTGCATAATGATAAGTCCAATGCTGTTTCCACTAGAGCTTTAGGATTTTTTGTTTGTTCTAAGCATGTTTTAGGTAATCCAGGAACTTGGATTTTTAAAGGACTTTTAAAGGACCCTTGACTTATCCCGATGCCCATTCTCAACACCCCTAAATTCTGAGAGAAAATGTTGCTCTCCTGTTCTGATATTTATACTGTCACAGTTGTATTCCAGCAAAAAGGAAGGAAATCTAATTCTACAACATCATTTAAACTCCCCATTACCCTCTTGGCAGGACATACCTGATGAAGAATATATTGTTGTTGCTGTGTTCACATCAGCATCCATCATGGATGCACAGTTGGATTCAGTCAAGGAACCTTTGACGGTCACAGGAGCAACGCTGGGATGGCGTAAGGCAGCTTTCAGGGGAGCGATGTGGTTGTACTGAACAGAGGACAAGCAGCCAGTGAAACCATAGGCATTTGCCTTTGAGACTTCAGGGTCCAGCGACAAACTATCTGCAGTACAACAGAAAAATACACTGGGAATTAACTGCTTTAGGTAGGCATTAAGAAAATTAGTCCTTTTCTGCCTTATCACCCATTTTACTTCTGTTACCCCATTTCAACTGTTCAGTTCTCCTTCAGCAGCCTATAAGTTCTCCCTGTCCTAACCCATGAGGTTCCCAACCCCAGTCCTTCCTTTACAATGTTACTTCCATTAAATCAAGTTGACTTGGACATAAAAGCCTGCATTACACTTCTTTCCTCATCCGTTTTCTCTGCTGTCTGGACAAAATCTAGCACATCATAGCTACTAACCATAACAGTAATAATAAACAGTAAAATAGCAACACCAAATACCACAGGATTTTGGGGATGATGCTCTAACTTTTTTTGCATCTGTTAACAACTTTAGTTTCACAGCTATTGACTGTATCTTCAAGGCATTCTGTCTCTTCCACTCTTCAAATAAAGGACTCTGCTCTCTGTAGTCTGTCATACAGTGCTTCATGTGACCTAATACTGAATGGCTAGCTAAAACAGTTTCCCACCCTTTTACAAGAGTTTATTATTGAAATTTTCTGATGCCCTTATCATGTTACTATCATTTTACAATCAGAATTCCCAGGAATCCTCCTAGCTATTAGTCAGGCTCTCACTCTGCTAGTCCTATTTCACTAATAAAATAAAGAGCAAAACTATACCTGTTATTATCTAAATCAAAGCCAAAACAAAGGTCTCTGTGTTATTTCCCAGCCTTGAAGATGAGATAGCACTATTAGCCTCTCTGTTGGTATGTGTCCATTTAAATTTCCCAAAGAAAAAGCCAATCAAAGGTCCGGAGTTTTTATTTAATCCTAGAATTATAAAATGGTTTGGGTTGGAAGGAACCTTAAAGATCATCTAGTTCCAACCCCCCTGCCATGGGCAGGGACACCTCTTGCTAGACCTAGTTGCTCAGAGCCCCATGCAACCTGGACTTGAACACTTCCAGGGATGGGGAATTCACAACTTAACTGGGCAATCTGTTCCAGTGACTCACCACTTTCACAGTCAAGAATTTAGTTCAAAAAGTTTTAATATCAAAGATTGTTTGGGAAAGTCAGGGAAGGACAGTAAAGCCATCTTCTATTTTCTCCAAGCTCTCACTTATTTACCTTCCAGAAATCAAAATTCATACTGCTCAGAGGTCTCAAACATGATATGCTTTATATCTAAGTCAATCAAACAAGAGAAAAACCTACAAATGCACACATACACAGTATCAAAACTTATTCTAAGTCTTAAAAATACCTGCTAAAAAACCCCAAACCAAAACAACTTCTAGCATTGAAAACTTTGGAAATACTTCCAAGGATGCTGGAAAATAAGGATTCCTAGCTTTTCAACTTTGTATTGGAATGATAATGGAAAAATTGTTCCTTATTTTAAAATTTAACATCTTGTTCGTTCAAAACTTAAAAACAATGATTTTGCAAGCTCTCAAAATAAAGGCAAAAAGAAAAAAGATCTTCTCTTAAAGCTGACATTCCTACCTTAATTACATAAATTTCTTTTCTATCTAAGAAAATACAGAGAAATCTCAAAGCTAACCCAAATCACACATTATTTTTGTGCTCAAGATCTGTGATGCCAAGCAGTTAGAGGCAATTATCTAAGAAAGTTTTATAATTTTGTTTGAATGTCTTCACGGGAGTGTATCATGGAAGAGTCTGGTTGTTTCTCAGCAAAGCAAGGTACAGTATGAGCTTGCTCTCCCAGGGGTCTTTCAGGAGAGATTCTCAGTGTGCAGAGCTGTCAAGGGCACAGCCTCTGGGCTGTGAGAGAAATGGAAAGAGAAACAGTGAGGCTTTGCCACTGGAAAAATTGTAGTCTTACAGAGGTTCACATTTGCTCACTGCTTAAAAATGTGTACGAATTGATTGCATTCCGGTTTTTAATGAGATTTTGGCTGAGATGTTATAAAACAGACAAAGAATTTTTTCCAAGTCCCTGTAAGAAGGTTTATATATACTAAAAGACTGATTTACAGTATTTGCCATCTTTGTTGAATTTATAAAACCCTTTGTCAACATTCCTACTCTCAGCCTTTATTGTTTTCTTAGCTCTGACACAAAAGGTGAATTTGTTGGTATCTTTTATACACCAGACAATCTTAGTTGCTCTGTTCTGCCCCAATGTGCAAAAGGTAAAGCCTAAGAAATAATGGTTTCTTTTTTCATGCTACAGTAGTTTGAAAAGTCTAAGATTCAACACTTTTGAAGTGACTTTAGAACCAATTCCGGGAGTCTTTTGTCAAGGTAAGCTTTGCATGAATGAGAACTAAGAGATTTGTTGTTGAAAGACTTTGAAATTTGAAAAAAAAAATCAAAGAACAAACTAAAAACAATTGTAGAGTCCTCTGGTAAAAATCCCACATGCACAGAATAGGTTTGCTTTATTATACAGCTTTAGGTGTGTGTGTAATGTCTGTCAGAAAGGGAGGCTCTCAGCAAGAAAGCTGCACAACTTGGATGTGAACGACTTTGCTGCCCTCTGAATTCTTGAGAGGATAATGTAAACCTGTGATTATGGCATGGTTCCCTCTATGAAAGGCTTATTAAAGACTACTCTGTCCCTTGGAGTCTTTATATCACAATAGAATGTTTTTCCAAAAGGTATTTTCAGTACATGACACAGCACTCCGTAAGAGAAGCAACTCAGAGAAGTTCTAAGGTCTGTGTTGCAGCAAGGTCATATCAAACTTCTGTGGCCTTCCTCTGACCTGATAATGCTGTGAATCTTTCCATGAATTTCACTGACTTGGAAAATCACATTGAATTGCTGCTGATGGCTTGGTTTGATCTTCTGACATTTTAGCATTGCATTGCTGTTCTCGGTATTGGGGAATGAGTTACTTTGGTTAATTTCTCCATGAAGGGTAAGAAGGTAATCTTTTTTTGCTTCTAGTAATTTAACTGCTCATTCTCCACATATTAAGCATACCCATATTTTTAGGAAGTAATTTTTTAGCTTTGTCTGCTGAGTTGTGCCTAAGTTGCCCTGGCTTCTTGTTGGGTCCTCTAGCTGATCCCTGGAAGTTGTCTGCAATGTCACAGCTCAGCAAGTTTTGTGTTGGTTTTTCATGTATTTGCAATGGCTTTCCATGATGATGAGGACTAAGTCTAACATATAGTTGTATTTTTAAACTTTATGAATTTTATCAATGTAATTTATGTGTTGATTTATTCCTATTCACAAAAACAGGTATCCTGTTCCATTGCTTCCAGGCATGACACTGCTCATTGTGCACCTCTGCCATACACACAACACTTGCTTTAAGATCTTTAATAATACAATCTTAAGTCTTCATATCTTGGTAATGGGGAATTAATTTTCATCATGAATAGAATTCCACCAGAATTCTCTAGAGCAAGCATTAATCTGCTTATCAATATATCAGCAAATTGACATAGTAAATTATAACCAGTATGATAGGTAACTGGAGTCAAAGAGAAATATTATTTGTGTTCAAGAAGAGTGTATAGAAGACCTTCTTTCTAAAGATACCATTGTGTAAAATAGGACCATAAACACTACTAAATATATTTTTGTTCTTTCTTTATAAACATTATTTTATGTCACTCAGAAACTTAAATCGGAGCCATAAGTTTACTTGTGTGCTCACTTGCAGTAGGGAAGGACCATAATGGATTTTCTTAATTGAAATTTATTTTTAACATCAGTGAAAGCAGACATAGTCTGTTTTAAAAGTCTTTGCCCTAATTAATTAATTAATCTATGTAGAATGTAAGTAGAAGCACAAAGGGGAATTTACTCTCTATGCTGAAGCACTGGTTGTCCTTTATTTTGAGTCTGAGAAATAGAAATATGATTTTGGGGGAGTTAAAATGTATCCATCACCTCATTTTACCAAGGTGCTGAATAGCACTGGCAAGAGTCCTTCTTGGACATTAGTACCAGATTTGAACTCATGACCTTGAAGTAAAAGACACTTGTAGTCTCCACACACTGCACCTGTCTCAGAAGACCTCTAGCAGGTACTTTGTAGTTACCTCACAAAATGTGCTTCCATGCCCTTCAACAATCTCAGTAAACATTTTTGATATTAATCATCAATTTAGAAAGGGCAGAAAACATATCTTGGGTTAGACTGGAACCCAAAAATCACAAGTTTGGAATAATCTGGTGTGAATCTGCCACAAAGGCAGCAGAGTGAAAAGCACAAAAAGTTTTCCTGGTTAGAACCACAGTTTAACTCCTGCTTAGTTAAAGGATGAACCTGAACAGGGAGTAGGCTCCAGACATTCAGTGCACCTCCAAAACACTTCTGAAAAAGCAAAGGACAGCAAAAACAAAGTAAAGGCATTTCTTCTCACAAACTTTCCCAGGATGAGCAGAATGCCAAAACCAGCACAATGCACCAGGATTTGCTTGCCAGCAGTTTAAAATTTTGTGCCAAGTGGAACATTTAGGAATTTTTTTTTCTGTTAGGCTTTGCAGAGATCATTTCAGACATGCATTAAGTATGTTTTCTGAAAAACAGTTTGTCATAAAAAATGAAGCACTACTTGGAGTTGCAATGTGAAATTTGTTGTTTGTCACAGTTTTTGACATTTGAATCCTAATCTGTCACAACACAAGTCCTGTGTGATTCTGCATGGGCCAAAAATATAATTTATAATAATAAGAAAAGATGTAAGAAGACAGAGAGAGGATGTGCAAAAGAATAGATGTTTTTCCCAGGATCAGAAAGCTAAAATCATAGAATCATAGAATCATAGAATTAACTGGGTTGGAAGAGACCTCTGAGATCATCAAGTCCAACCCCAAATCAACTAAAGTAGCAAAAATTCACACTATAAATAAAATTTCTGGATAGAAGTAGATGGCCTTGGTCACTTATTTAGATGGCATTATTATCAAGAAAACATCTGTTTATGCATGATGTGATCGTGTGGTAAATTATATTGCTGGAGGAAAACTTGCAGTAGATTTGGTCTTTTTCTGATAGAGACATGATGGCATTATTGGCTTAGACCTGGGATTGCTTGAAGTGCCTGGGTTAGCTAAACTTTGGTTATTTTAACTGTTACCATTTTGGTAACAAATGTCTCTCCTCTTTTATCCTATGTAGTAATGTCCATTTTCCTTAACACTTTACTAGGCTATGAGGAAGAAAATCAATAACTTTTAAAGATACCCTAAACTGACCCAAGAGATCTTTTTTTCACAATATGGTCTGTCTAAGAAATAGGTATTTAGGGCAAGACGACTCTGACTTAAAGAAACAAGTCTTTCAGTGACCATAGGAATCCAGCCAATATCTCTTGCAGCCATTGCTGTATTGTTTAAATTACTGCAGCACAATGTTCCGAGACTGTAGCGTTAAAATTATTAAGCAAATTATGATTTTGTAAGCTTAAAAAAGGGAATGTCTTTCCATCAAAAAAAATGGACTTAAGCATTTTTCATAGAAACTCTCTAAAAGGAGGTACTTCTTTAAGGCAGCTTTTGTATTTCAGAGTTAATGACAACTTACCCCTTGTGATTTAATGATCCCATTATCATCTCCCCCCTATAATATCACTCTTGGACGAATTGTTCTGTAATATCTTCAGTGTATAGATTCCATTTTCTCCTCGTGAACTTTTAATAAGAAAAGCTATTGTAGAAATCATAAGAATTGCACTACACCTACACAATGATTTTAATAAAATTACTTTCCAGATAAACTTTCTTCTACATACACTTTATATCATAGCCAAATGACTCAGTGGAAAGAATCTTACAACTTTAGTGTGGTTTAGCTGAGTCTTTTAAAGATAAAAGATATCATGTTCCTGTGCTAAAATACACAATCCTTAATGCTAATTGATCACTTTGAAGGCACATATAAATTAGGTCAAGATTAAAAGGTGCCAAAGAAATACTTGCAATGCTTTTCTTCAGAATCCTCTTGAATGCTTTCAGTGCTACCCTTTTACTCTGGTATGCCTATACAGCTACAATAACAATTTCTCACAAGTAAATATGCAATGAGATTCATTTCTCTGCATCAGGGATATTTTTTACAATTTCACTACAATGGCAAAAAATCTAGATATGTTGGGGCACAGTATAAAGTTTTCAAGGATTCATTAAGGTGAAACCCCAAACAAATAAATTATATTTTCCACTGGGATATCAGTTTTTTGTAGAGAAGACCTAAACCTATGCAAATGTGTCTCTGAGATTAGAGAATTACAGAATAATTTAAGTTGAAAGACACCTCTGAAGGTCATGCAGTTCAATCCCTTGTTCAAAGCAGAGCCAGCATCACAGTCAGGTCAGATTGTTCATATGGTTAAATACAGCAGTATGATCTCTGCAAGGAGTACTTAAAGTAAATGAACTGGGACTCTGGTTAAGATTTCACTGAGGCTTTGCCATAAACTCTATGACCCGCTTGGAGTTGAATTCAGTACTCACTAAAGCCCACAGAAAAACTCCCATTGATACTGATAAGCTTTGGATAGGTCCTTTTGTACCGTGACTCTATATTTGTGGAGTAAAAATTACAACAAACTACAGGATAATGATATTTTTCTACTGCTGTTGGATACTGTGAGGATGAATTCAACAAACATCTGTTAGCTTGAATGATGTTTCTTTTTACTCCCTTGTCTTCAAAGCCACATTTATATTTAGATTGATCTTTGTAAGGCAGTTATAGGGTCCCATTACTGAGGATCTGAAGAGCTCACAGACCTTAATGCTTTTATCCTCCCAGCACCCCTCTGATGCAGGGCTGTTCTATTATCTATGCTTTTGCTGATAAAGACGGAAACAGTAAAGCTCAGACTGGTTCCAGTGGGAATAAAATGCCTGTGTACCTTTATATCTGCACATAAATGGCTTGCCCAAGGTCATTCAAGTAGTCTGTGGCAGAGTGAGTGTCCTTATGTCTTGAATTTCAGGTGAGACTCTTCTACCTTAAGCAGAGGTTTTTTGTCCAGAATGCAGAACTAGGTGTAGGGCAACCATTGGGAAAAAATTACAGAAGGTTTGAAAAGAAGAAAAAATTATTAGACTGCAAGTACCTTTTTACTAAAGAAAGTTTAATGGGGCTGGGGTGGGGGGACTAGAAGCAGGAGAAACACCATTATTTAAAAAAAGCTGGTTGTTGTATAAAAGTACACTTTTCAAAGGTTCTAGCTGTGCTAAAATGGTTATCATGAGAAAGTCTGGTGAGGAAGAAGTTTCAAGCTTTTATGATGTCCTGCTGGAAGACCTCTTTGAGATTTCTCAGTCAGTGGGAAACAAATGGTGGAGTCAAGAAAGAAGGTGGTATAATTATCTGGTTAAGCAGCCAGGATCAGGCTGTTAGAGCAGACAAATGAGCAGTGATATGACAGGAAAGAAGACAGACAAATTGTCAGAAGATTATAACATGGATATATAGGACACACAGAACACAGCAGTTTTTATATGATTCTATTTCAGTGGACACTTAAATGTTCCCAGTGAATGCCTTTAGGTGCATAATCCTAAAGTGGCATCCAAAATAAATGCTACAGGGAAGTCTTGGTCTAGGTCAAAGCATCATATGCCTCTGGAAGTTTATGCTTTACGGAGGGCATGAATAATGGCAAGGAAGAACATGAAAGACATTGATTTAAGCCACTAGTATTCACCTGGTGAAAGAAGTTATAATATAAAAGATAATACAATATAAAAGAAGTTATAATTGACATTTTACCCATATATGATGATTTAATATATTTGTGTAAGTTCTACATTGTCAAAGTGACGATGTCCAGCTCTCTTTTATATACAATAAGGTAATACACTTGACACTACAGTAGTAGGAATTTCTGTTTTGTATTAGGGCTTTTTTGGATAAAACCTGAAAAATTAAACCCTAATATAGAAGACATATTTGCAGAAATTCACTTAACATATGAAGAAAAAATTGGAATGAAGATTAGGCTGGAATTTAAGTGATTTGCTGGGATGCATTGTGTGACTCCTGGTACAGTAATAAGATGTCACCATCTGGATGGCCAAGTTTGTAGCTTTAGAGTCATTACAGAATATGAACCATTGCTGTCACTAAAATAAAATCCCAATAAACTTTGGGGCAAGAGAGAAATCAAAGAAGTTGGTGGTGTTCAGTGAAAATGAATGCCAGACCTCTGAGATACATCTGGGCTTTTTGGCTTTACAACAACTTGTGCTTGTGAAGTTAATCATATTTTTGTGACTAAATCTAGTTTCTCTCCATAATTCTGAGCAGCACCATGCCAGTTTGCTGGCTGCATCTCTGAAGGTCTTTGTTCTACATTCCATCTTACTGGTTAGAAAAGCATTGGTTTGTTGATTTGGTGTCTATAGGTGGAGCTTTAGATAGAGGTCGCAATGAGCAATGTTCTTGCAGATTTTCAGCACTACAGGTGACTGATGACAAAATGGAAATTTTAGCTTGTCTCTGACTTGGGCTGAAAAGTGTCAGGTCCCAAAACCTGTCCACAAAGGCTTGGAAGATGGCTGCATTCTGAGCAAACATAAAATATAAAAGGGGAAAATCAGTTCATGTTCCTAACCCACTTAGTAAAACATGATGCAGAATACACTATTGTCATTACATAAAATAGCATTTTACAAGCAGACACTAGAGGATGTCTGTAGTTTCTGTCTAGCTGCCAGTCCCACAGGCTTTAAGTGCTAATAATGAAACATAGAAAACTGCAATAGTAAGACAGATGTCAGGCTTGATATGGAGGTCCAATTCGAACACAGGACTGAAATGTCTATAACCAAGGAAGAATTTAGAATCTCACCAGGAAAGAATAAGACTCATGCAAAGTAATAGGACATGCTTGACAACGAAACTGAAGAGTTCTCTTTTCCAAATTTTAAGCAGAATTTTCCTGGTCTTGTAATGGCTTTGGAGTGTGGAGGAGTAAAGATCAAGTAACTCCACACATAGAACATGCAGAGCTGTGGTCTCAGTGCTACAAGTAATATTCCTTCCAGAATTCAAATGGGAGTGAAAAAAGGGTAGAGAGGATGAAGGTTCACTGTACTGTCCTTATCATTAGGAAACAGAAATAGCTGGAGAAGAGCAAGCTGCAGTCAGCAAAATGATATCATTAGGTTAAGATTCCACCCTATGCAGCCACACAGACACTATGAATCACTTTACTGGAGGGAGCAATAGGAGAAGTTAATACTGCTATCAGTGCAAACAAGTAAGCTGCCAAATTTTTGCATTGATGAGATATATAAATAGGAGTACTGGAATGCTCAGGCCAACTCTTACAGCAAAACCATCCAAACAAAACCCCAATCCTATCAAAAACCCAACATGCAGCGCTATAACAACTGATGAATCAGGAATATTTTTAGCAGAACCTACCTGTGACCTTGCCCAAGGTGAGTGATTTAATGGCCTTAAAATCAATCTCAGAAAAGTTGTGTTTGAGTTTGAGAACTTGATCAACCTGGAAGAGGTCAATAAAATTACTTCATTACAACACCATGTAGACACTCCTAGATCTCACGGTACTGCAAACTTCTGGGAACACTCTCAGCTGCAAATCAGTTAATTCTGCTCCCAGGTGTGATTCACTTTCTAGAGACAGCAAAGCGAATGTGCTTTGATTTTAGCATGAGAAGCTGAAAGGTACATGAGAATAGTCATCTGAAGGGCTTTGAAGAAACTTCCCCTGCTGAAAAGCTTAAAATATTTGACACTGAAATCCTCCTGCTTCCCAAAATCCATGTCTAGTCACCAGTCACTTCATAATACACTTAAAGGAGACCTCTCTAGAAATGTATTGTGAAGAATTAGTTCTGTACAGAAGAAAACCACAGAGCAGCACACAATAGAAGACTGGAACTTGAGGAAAACCCTGTCTTTTAGCATAACCCTCCTTCTTAGAAAATCAGACCTACCCACGGCCCATAGCTGAGCCTTGGGTGATCATTTTACCACCCAGACATGGAAAGTGGAGAGGAAAGAAAAATTGTTGCACTATGTGTTTCTATCTTCTTCTCATTTTGTTCCTTAAGACAACTTCTCTATAGACTCTGCCACCCTTCTCTGTTAAATGACTGCCACCCATATCTGGCCATCTTGTTTTGCAATATGAACTGCTATAATTAGCCTTAGAAAGAAAGTAGAAAGAGCAGTAAGATGAACCTCTCCTCCCTGCCTTGGAAAAACAAATGATGCAGGGAAACAAAGCAGAGGAGGGTTCTTGTCTCTCATGTGGTTGTCACATTCAGTATGGCTTGCTTCTAGCTCTAGGATAGGGCATTGTCATTCACATGGTGAGTACTCTGTATTCCCTCAGCTTTTTCTTTTCTTTGAGGGGATGAGGCAGCTGGGGACACATTCTCCCTTGGGACACACACTCCAAATGAAACTACATTCCCGGGTGCTTATCCTTCTGTTGTTTTTCTCCCTTTCACAATTTATTAATCACCCATACCGTGAGTTTCCTTAAAGACTACAGGTCACACAGACATCACTAGGCCCCAGAACCAGTCCAATGATCCAGATGAACATGTGGGCAAATGTGTTTCCTAATTCATAGATTGGCATAAACAAGGGAAGGATCCCACAAGAGAAAACACCACCATTGGGCACTCTTGGAAGCAGGGTGTGGATGGAGCTTTGTTCTAAGCTACAGGGCTGCTCTGTTGCTGGATCACCTTTGGTTGCAGCAGATCGGTGAGAAATCTTTGCCTCCTGTTGGCAATCAGGCATTGAAATTAGTGGGTCTGACTCACGGAATTGTAAAATGGCTTGGGTTGGAAAGGACCTTAAAGATTATCTTGCTGTGGACAGGAATAACTCCCACTAGACCAGGTTGCTCAGAGCCCCATCCAACCTGGCCTCAAACACTTTCAGGATTGGGGCAACTTCTTCCCGTGTTTGTGGCACCAGATATTATTTAACATTCAACATAAGCCTTGGCATACCTGAATGATGAGCTCTCTGCCTTCTCTGTTAATCTTCACATGGTGCAGCTCTCGATTGGCAAAATTTCCGGAGTCAATGGTGAAAATGAGGAGCCCATCTTTACTCAGCTTGTATCGAACCTGTAAACTTCCTAAAAAGCAGAGTAAAACTGCATGAATAAAATCTGTGTCAATAATGAGATATCATTCAATAACTTTGCTTAACATATAACTCATTTTCTTTTTATTGCAATGGAGCAACAAGGTTAATAAGTCAAGAAAGATGTTGAAGAGAACTGAAAGAGTTCAAACTGTAATGAAAATTGTGAAGAAAATAATTCACTGGAGGAGTTTTCCTTCCTACTAGGAAAGGCTAGAAGGCTAACAGACTCTGCTATGGAGAAACATAACTTAATGAATATCTAACTATATCAAAGGCGTGTCTGTCTGCAGATCAGATATTGAGCACTGCCACAGAAGCTGATCTACATTATCCCGTAAGGGATGACTTCCAGCAGAGGGCATGCAGGGCTTGCACTGCTCTATTAAACTAATATTGGTGGATTTTACCATTTCTTTTCATCCAGACAATGCAGAAGACTGTGACAACTGTGAGAATTACAACAATTTCAAACATTCAAAAGCCCATCAGTTACATTATCATTTACATGCAATGAAAAAGTATTTTTACTTTTGCTGAAATATTTGAAGGAATTAATGTAATTAATAAACAAGTGAATGTCAAACATCTCATTCAATCTTTGTATTAAAAAAAAAAATTGTGACTTCTGATAAATAACAGTACCATGACAAATAGAAACACACAAGAAAACAAGGAATCCAGTATGAAATTTAGTCCTTTAACAAATGACTACAGGGAATATATATATCTATATCTATATATATATATATCTATATATATATATATATCTCCCTGTATATATATATATATATGTATATGTGTATATATACATGTAATCTAAAAGGAAAAGAATCTATTCTGATAGAATCTTTTCAAGCATACTTTTCTGGGAATTAAGTAGCAGGTTGAAAAATAAAATTCTGAAATTTTTGAACTCTTTTTATGCATCAGCAACCAAAATACATGGACCAACAGTGGTACCATAGAGTTTAAGATCTCTTCTGGGGCTACTTTATTACCGTCTTCAAAGAGAAAATGAATGCTGACAGTACCACGGCCCTGGGGAAAGGGTCCTATATTTATTCCCTGTTCTGAAACTCATTATAAAACACTCTGTCCTTCCTCCTTCCATTTCAGTGCTTCTGTTAGCACAAGTTCAAACTATTTAAAGTATGGCTAGATTTTGCAAAAAGCTACAAACTATAGCTGTTACCTGTGCTGGACAGCAGGCACTGAGTGCCTGTTTGCCCCTGAAGGATGTGCCTGCACTGTTTTAGCCCCAGGAGAAGGTTCAGTATTCACAGAGAAAACACTTGTAGGACCACAGTGATGCAGGGTCATGTCAGAGAAGCCCATGGTACACCTGCACAAGCTGCTGCAGTTGTATTGTGCACTGGAATGTCATTCAGAGGAGCCTCTGACCCCAGAAGCAGTCTGGTTGTTAAATGAGGGGAATGAACAGCCCTGCTGGCTCCTGTGTTCAGACATATCAATGCTGCGAGATGACTTGCAGATGTAGAGTTAGTGAGAGTTCTTCAGTACATAGCGTGGACATACTCACGCCCTTCAGCTTTCCAAATCCTCCCTCAGTAAAGTCATCTTTGTTGTTCTACAAACTATTGTAAACCCACTTTATAAAGAGCTTAAAACAAGGTGTAAAATTCCTGCAGTGAAGAAATTTTTCCACCTCTACACAGCTCATTGTGAAGTTGTTAATCCTTCCAGATATGACCCCTAGTCTAGTTAAGATCATCCCTCCTTCTTTTCCCTCACCAGGATGTTTGGCTCCTAAGAGCTGTACTTTTAAAACATTATTACAAAATTGAGCATATCCCAAATGAGCACTGACACTCTCTGAGATTTGTAGGATAGAAAAAAGTCCGCTAAATTCATGAGGAAAAGTGAGAATGAACTACTAAGATGAAGGCTTTTTAGCTGATTGAGAGGTCTGCTGGATCAGGGAGCTTTTAAAGTGAAAATAATAACCAAAAAAAGGATAAAAGGTATTTGCTTTCTCACACATAGTCATGGACATTAGAGGAGAATTTGTGAAGAGATCAAGGTCAGTAAAAACTACTAAATTATTCAGTGTGGTCCTAATTCAGATGCCCCAAATCATATTGCAATGCTCCCAGCCCTCATTGCATAGTGAGGGCAAGGAGCTACTGTCTATCACCATGAATGTCACACTTAAAGGTACAAACTTAAACCACAATCACATTATCTGGTACTGAATGAAAGATGCATCAACTGCAATTAGGAGCATAAACATCTTAGAATCACTTTTCTCTAGAAATACGTGAGAAAAGAAGCCCAAGTGCAGGGTAGTTAAGGGACCTTTTTCAGATTTACTCACTGGACAGTGGGAGAGCTGATAAAAAGTGAAAGGTTGTCTGACCTGCACAGCATAGCTGAGAGGACCACACAGAATGAGCTGAAACTAAAATATTATAGTCTAATAGATTAATATGTTATAGTCTAATAGATTAATCCAAACTAAAAAATCATGTCCCAGAAGAAGTACTTTAGAGGCTGCCTCTTACCTGGATCCCATGAAAGGGCTGTGAAGTGACAAATGGAACAGGGACTAGAGGTTTGGTTTGTGACCTTATTTTGCAAATGTGAAAAAAACTTCACTGCTCTTTTTGAATGCTATGAACACACATGTATATAAAATATAATTGGTACTACACATGCAGGCGATCAGTAATAGTATCCAGTTCATCTGTGTTCAGAGAGAGCCAGCATGACATAGGCATGCAATCTATCCAGGCTCTAAGCTGCCACAAACAGGGATTTACCCATTGACTTCGCCAGAGAAGCACTGATTTTAAACCAGAAACCATCTGTTACTTTTGCTAGGAGACAACGGACGAGGTTCTTGACATCCATTAAGAACAGATCTTACTTTCTATAGTGGTGCAATTTCACCTTAAATCATGTAAAGAGATCAGTGAATGGCATCTAATTTTGTCAAATTGCTTTGGATCCAATGTCAATTTTTTTATGGTCAACTGCTCTTCAAAACTATTGAATTCAAGCTGGCATTTTGCCTGGGGTCAAATTTGCATTAACATAAACCAGAAGTACAGGGGTTCATCTCTCAAGAGGTATTTTGGAATTTACACCATTGTAGCTGAGAGCTGATTTTGCCTTGCATTCAGTACAAAAACTTTAGGTTTCAGATTACAGAATAATTTGTCAAGCAGATCAAATTGTCAGTTTAGTACTTGACAAGCAAAATAAATGGATTTTTAATTAGGATTATTATTAAGGACTTTTTTTTGTCCTCTGAATTCTGATTATCTGGTCCACTGACTTTCTCCATCACATCAGCCCAATGTCAGCAATGGCAAATAAAACTCCGTGTCTACACCAGCTCTCCCTGTTCTCTACTGTCTCTCTATTTTGCATCATTTTTGCCTCACAATAGGGGTTCACACTAATCATGAGCAGTGTAATTTCTGGCAGTTTTGTTGTAGTCATGCCTGTCATCCTCTTTTCAGCTCCCTGTGTCTGAGCATGCTCACCTGGAGTGCCACAATGCTCAAGCAATGCACGGCCTGTTGTGTTCCTTCTCTAATGGATGTGGAATTGCTGGAGGCAATTTTTATCAAGTCAATAAAGGAGGGAGGGAAAGGAAAAGAGAGATATAATTTTTTTGGCCTTGGGCTGGGAAATTTTCCTGGGCCTATTACCCCAGTAGTGTTAGGTAAGAGTAGATTCGCACTTGATAATTGCGGTCATCCATCCCCTTCAGCTTCGAATTCTGCAAAGTGCAGATCAGCATGGAGATATGCTGTGCTAGCTCCAGAACAGCCTGAGAGGGGAGTGAGCTCAGCTTAGGCACAGTCTTACCAACAACAGTGTGGCCTCTTTTCACCGCTGCTGGAGAAAACGATTTCACGTGGGCTGCCACGCTGCTGTGGTAAGACCACTGCCAGTATCAAAGCTGGCTTGTTACAAATCACTGTGTTCTTCAATCTGTAACCTGAAGTATTATAATCCATGACTATAGGGCTGAATGATACATCATCTGCCTAAAGATATCAAACAGCTACAGAGGCATTTCAACAGGATTCCTGGGAGTCCACTTGTACAGAGAGAAGCCCTGGGAAACAGAGACCAAAGGGCAGTATTTATGCCATCCCATGCTGGTGACTAGGTTGGGGGTATCTTTTCTGAAACAAACTCTCCCAGGACACATCTTTCAATGATGATGGAGGCCAGCACTAGTATTTGCTAGAAGAACACTAATGATCCATTTCAGTCTAACCAAACTCCAGGCAGCTACAGGAATAGCATGGTGCCTTCAAGCTGCTTATTTTTGCCAAGGACAAGCTGCTGTAGCAGCTCTTAAGTCTACTGGTAAAAAGGACATGAAACTGATTAGATATTTCAAATTGTTCAGCCTGAAGAACAAAAAAAATGTTCCCAAACTGCATGGAGTGAAGAAATACCTTAGCTGCGGAGTTACATATTCTATGCCCCAAATCTGTGCTGATTGAACATGTCAGCAGGAGAGATGTCTTTCTTTTGCCTGTGTTTACAACAGGGCTGAGTAGAACATCAGAAACATAGTTTTGTGGTAGTTTTGTGGCCTATGTCTATCAACTTTACATTCATTCTGGACCGCATCATCTAGAAAATAGAGCATGGGAAAACGGTACAGAGAGGGCTCTAGCTCAGGAAAAGGTTCCCTGGTTTGAAAGATCTCACCCAGGGATAGCTATTTGGCAAAAAGGTAAAAGAAGCTTTGCAGAAAAGAGAAACGAGATACCAGGAATTTAGTCTGTAAATCCATCATTCTTAAGTAAAGTTCTTGTCACACATGTCACCAGGACCACAGGTCTTGTGTCATTTAGTCTTGAAGAACCAAGCAACAAGGAAGGGACTGGCATGCCCTTGGAGTCTGAACTTCTCTGCAGGACCTTCATTTATGGAAACCAGTTTTAAATTAGCCCAGATTGAAACCAACAACTCTTGCCAACTTCAATAACACTTTTTAAT